AAATCATCATGTTCATATTCATCATAATGATAACAATAATAATGATTATAATAATTACAATAATAACTTATCTTAACGATAATAATCATGATCAGGATAATAATCACAATAACAAACATAATAATTACAAAAATAACATTAGTAACACCACCAACCATAATAATCATTGTTGTCATTATTGTGATACTGCTTCTAGTACTACTCCTACCACATGTACTAGGAAGAAGGAGGGGAAGAGGAAGAATCTTATTGTTTATTTTTTGTATTATCGATGCATAAAAATGCACAGGGAGGTAAGAGAGGGAAAAGTAAGGCGACGTAGAGGGAGAGAGAGGGAGAGAGAACGAGAGGGGGTAGCCTATGGCCCGGGTTCAAATTCAGTTCTCTTTAATTTATTTGACCCAGTACTGATGATCATAATTTTATCTACCATGTGATTGCCATGTGTACGCCACACCGAATAGCACTAGCTCAAAAGATTTTACACACTAATATATATATATATATATATATAGTAAAGCTACATACACTTAACTGAAGGAAAGAAACCTATAGAAAACGGACTGGATATTATTGAAAATACTACTCTAAACAAGAATGTACTACATGTACTTCTATAGTATTAATGACTGCTTTGAGATAAATAGTTGTTTTTATACGCTCAAGGGAAGGTTAGAATTGTGCTATTGCCTCGAGGCGTGCCGAGGGCAATAGCCCAATTGTTACCTTCCCGAGAGCGTATAAAAACAACTATTTCTCGAATATTAAAGCAGTCATTAATACTTTTATATGCCGAAAAAAAATAGACTAAAAAATAAAAAATGAAAAATAAAAAACTTTTGTCGAAGATGGGATTCGATATCTTGCGTACAAAAGGTGATGTATCTAAAATCAGCGCCTTAAACCGCTCTGTTACCATACTTAACAGTTTTCTCTAATATATACATTAAAATGGATTTAAAACGGCTTCGCGTGATTGATGATTCGCGGCTGCTCCATTAATCGGGCCCTTCTTTTACTTTTGCAATGCATATTGGCACGAACTTAGATCAAGATCTATAGGCAGATGTTGTTTTTTTTGTTTTTGGAAGTTTATTTTCGTCTTCATGTCAACAATGCAAGATAACATTGTCGGTAAGATCGATCGAGATTCAATTGTATTGAAATTACCGACCAATTCTTCGCACACGTACGGTATCCTCAATCGCTCAAACCATTTTTTAACATGTAAACCTATGGGGTAACCATGGAGACTGACCTATTTTCCCAATAACCATGGTTATTAGGAAAATAGGTCTGTTTTTACAGGAACAGTTAAAGTTTATGAATGCAATTTCGACCAATCAGATTGCTGGATTACTTAAGTGAGGTATTATGTTACAATTTCACGAGAGAAATAGAACTCGAGAGGGGAAGAAAAGAAGAAGTGATGAAAATGAAAGAAGACTAATAGCATGAGAGGAAAGAAAAGAGCTAAGAAGACAAGAAAAGGGTGTAAAAAGGAAAAAGAAGAGAGAGAGAGATAGCCATGAGCTTTTGATCGGCTAATGAGTAATAAATGAAACAGATTTTGAGCGGAGTAATTATCTTTCGCCGGAGAACTTGCATAAGGAGCTAAAACTTGATGTTTTTTAAATCAAACATTATGGGGAATAGCAAAAAACGGCTGAGCATTTATTGCACTAATTGCCAGAGGAGCATTCATGTCTTCAACGAGGCCGCACTTTTGGATCAGAGAGCAATTTAATTGTCGGTGAAGCATTGGGCCGTATGCATAAAAAGTAGCAATTGCTTGTGCTAGCCTTTTACTTGAATCCGTATGCATAAACATAAGCAATTGCTTGCAAGCAAATGCTTTTGCTAGCAAGCACAAGCAATTGCTTGATGTCCGCAAGCAATTGCTTAAAGATCAAGCAATTGCTTAAAAACGTATGCATAAAACGAACCTTTTGCTTGTTCTTATAAGCAATTGCTTACGTTTTTTCAAGCTCCGTCATAGCAGCTTGAGCTCTTGCTTAATCGAGACGTTCGCGGTTAAGCATCATGTTTATGCTCGTTAGAGAAAAACCAAAGTTGTACAGGAGTAGAATAAATCGAGAAGAAATTGCTCCCGAGACCTATCGGAAACTATTCCGTTTCGACAAAGAGAACGTTGTGTGGTTAGCACACAGGTTCATACCTGAACATGATGAAAAACGGGGAGGATTTCTGACAACGGTGGAGAGCATGGAGGCCAGAAAAGGCTACCCCACACGCATGACATTTGAATACACTACTACACGGGTGGCCAACCTGCGGCCCGCGGGCCACATGCGGCCCGCGAGCTCTTCTTGTGCGGCCCGCGGAGCATTGAAAAAGTAATTATAAAAATACTTAATGAATGAAATGCGGCCCGCATAACAGCGATGAAATAGAGTAAAACATTTACACACAGCTATCTCTATTTCCATAATTTGTTTTCATCATTCACAACATATTGATTCGTTACGTGGCTTATACAAAACTCCTCAAATTCCCTCTCATTACATTACATTAACGACATTAACATCACTCGCCGTGTTAATTTCAGTTTGTTATTTCCACATGCAGTAACCTTTGTAAATATACAAATAATAACAATAATAATAATCTTTTAAAATCCACTCCAAATTTTATCAGGTTAAACCGAAAATGGAAATTCTTTTTGCCCAATCGATCGTGAATCAAGAAATATGTTTGAAATGCCATACTTGTCTTCAAACTTACAACCCTTTTCTCCCGCCGTATAATTTTTTCATTAATCCTAATCGTGGATAGTCCCCTTATATTCTTTCTGCTGTGTCATTGATTTTGTTTGAAATAACAACCAACATGGCATCGATTTCGAGACGTGCGAAGAAAAGGAAAGTTTCTGATGAAGACAGAAACTTTAAATCGGATTGATCTCTGAAGTATTTCTTCATAGAAGAGAAAGGTAAACAACTTTGCCTCATATTCTGTTAGCCAGAAATCACACTACAAAAGTAAGCCTGATTTTGTTCGACTGATTTTGTTGTTTGTAAAATTGCAGGTGTGTACATGAGTGTGTGTGTGTGTGGGGGGGGGGGGGGGGGATTTCAGATTTGGCTTTTACGAGGTGTGCCGCTGAAGCCTCGTAACCTCTACCCATTTTTAAGGGTTGCCTTGTTTTGGCAGATTTTTGTTGAAAGTAAAGCCCATTTTATAAAAATTTCGGGTGTTTGCATGGCTAAAACCCTGAATTTTTATAAAATAAATTTTTTGAAAACACGGACCCATGTTTAGGATATTTCTGTTAAAAATGGGACCCAAGTTTAGGGATTCTTTTTGTAAAAAAGGTTACCCATTAGAGCGGCACACCCCGTATGTCTCAATATGTGATTACCCCCCCCCCCCCCCGCCTGGCCTACGGCCCGCCAATTTATGACAATCGTTAGATGTGGCCCGCGAGCTTTAAAAGGTTGGCCACCCGTGCATTATAGAGCGGCACACCCCGTATGTCTCAATATGTGATTACCCCCCCCCCCCCCCCGCCTGGCCTACGGCCCGCCAAGTTATGACAATCGTTAGATGTGGCCCACGAGCTTTAAAAGGTTGGCCACCCGTGCACTACTAGTATGCGAAACCCGCCTTTGTTCTCCCATGAATGATGTTCGCACCGGCGTGACGTCGCTATTGTTGAGATCGTAAGCAATTGCTTGCTGGAGGCAGGGAGGTGAAAGAAAAGGAGGCGAAACTCTTGTAATTTATTCAAACGCATTCTTGAGTTCTAAAGCGTAACAATGGGATGTGTAACATTCCACTTGGCTTTGAAGTTCCATGCTCCGAACCGCGCTTCCACTGCGGGGACTTTCGGAAGCCAGGCACCAGTTTTACATGTATTACAAAATATTAAATTACCGGCAAAATTTCAGTTTAAATCAAAAACTTTATATAGGGATTTTATTGGGAATAGTGCATCAAACAAATTTTCAAATTTAGAACTCCGTCCTTCCTTTAATTTGTGTGCCAGAGTTGGTAAAAGAAAAATTACATCCTGTCAAAAACTCAATATTTTAGGATGATGCGCTAATTTGTGCATGCTTTAATGTCCCGTTATTTGATCCATGATTTACAATCTTCAATAAAATTAAGTTTGCTAATGCGTGTTTTCGCGTGTTTTTTGTATTTTTCAAGTTTAAAAAAGGATGAAAGTACACAAGTTTGTGTTCGCTTGTTCTACTCTTTACACATTCAACAATGGATGAGAAATCATTGGAAGGGACAGCGAACAGTTGCAGTGATACCATTTTCTGATGTAGGAATTCTAACTCCTGAAATTTCATGCGCTCTTTTATCTCACCACCTGGTCAACAGTTGCAGATTAGCGCATAACTTTTCGGCGGCTTGGAGCATGGGGTCAAAGGAGAGCGGCTTGATTCCAGTCCTTCTCTATCACGTCCCTGCTGGAGGCAAGCAAAAGGTTTGAGCACAAGCAAAATGTTATGCATACGGATTTAAGCAATTGCTTGAGCTTGATCTTTTGCTTGACAAGCAATTGCTTGTGCTTGAAGCAATTGTCGGCGGAGCAAATGTCGGCGGAGCAATTGTCGGCGGAGCAATTGTCGGCGGAGCAAATGTCGGCGGAGCAATTGTCGGCGGAGCAAATGTCGGCGGAGCAAATGTCGGCGGAGCAACTGTCGGCGGAGCAACTGTCGCGGAGCAATTGTCGCGTTTTGCGGAGTAAATGTCGGCGGAGCAATCGTCGGCGGAGCATGTGTCATGGAACCGCCATATGTCAGGCCATGTCAGGCCACGCTATATGGGATGGACGCGGCCCATGCCCAGTACACGCCTCGCGTCCCCGCCGCGCCCCAGCTCGTGGATCACGTCGATCGCGGTCGGCCGTCGCGTCGGGACTCTTTTAGTTTCAAAGAGTTTCTCATAAAACGTACCACAAATAAGTTGCGGGTCCCTAAATCTCAATGTAACACGGTCAATAGTGACTTATTTCGATAACTTACCGTAAATGTGTGAAGAACTAGTTGGGAAAGTCCAAAAAGAAGCTTGTAGATGTGCAAACCTCAGATCGCTGTGAGACAATGAAGCGTTTGCAGTGAAACTGCCACATGCATGCACTCCAGCACGAATGACGCAATTATTCTCATGAATATTCATATAATATTTTTTTCAACTCTCGCAGTGGCCAATGAACACCTGCTATGCTGCCATACCTCTTGATTTTTCATGAATATTCAGGAAAAATCCATGACGTCTCTCTAGAAAATAATAAACATACGCCCAGATTCATGAAACACATGTGTTTAGTTTTAAACCTAAACTCTTTTCTGTCATTGTCGATAATGTCAATCTAAGAAAACAAAACTAGAAAGGACAAATACTTATTTTTATTAAAAAAATCATTCCAAGAAATAAATTTAATACACAACCGTATTTTTTTTAGTAAGAACAGTAAAATAGGCAAATTGATCATCATGTCATATATTTATTTATATAAGGTCTTAGTTTAAGACTGCATGAGGAACCTCCTTGGGTTGCATCCAGGGCTCAAATTAATTTTTTGTCCACGGGGGCTCTTCCCCCGAAAAAAGAGCCCCCGTGAGCCTTCTCACGGGGGCTCTTTTATTACTGACGGGGGCTCTTTTTTATACAAATATCCATTGAAATGGTACCTATGATACTCCTCAATTATTTGCTATTTCATCATTATCATTTCAATCAGCATTTTCCCTCTTACAAATTTAAAAGCTACATAGCTGTTACTGGCCTGTGTATATAATATATACGCATACAACACTGATCTTTATGTTGTCTTTAACGTGACATATCGTCTTCTCCCCTTGCAAACGAAAAAGAAAACATGGTCATTAAAAGGGATTAAGCGACAAATAATGATTGTGATTCAAATTGATGCGAATATTTGTTTGAATAAGCACTGCTATATTCATCCGAATCTTCTTTGTAAAAACAACTTTTACAAATCTCAGCCATGCTTACTAAGTTGAGACGTTCCATTCAATTTAAAATACCCATTACATAATACACTCCTAATCTCAAAGTGATCTTACAGCACAGTGGCAGAATTGCATGGCTGAGATTTGTAAAAGTCGTTTTTACAAAGAAGATTCTGGAATCATGCCCCCCCCCCCTCCACGATTTTTCTGATTGCTCCGGAATGCATATGGATGGCGGCCCGCCGCTCGCTGACTTTCTTCTTTCGAGTCTTGCGCAACTTTAAACAAAAATTGAAAATCGGACCTACGGTTACAAGGTCGCGTGTCCTTTTGTCTTGGCATGTCAGCCCGAAAATCGCTCATTTTCGTGATTTGTGTACAAAACATATGGAAAAGTCATTTTTCCTAAAAACAGATCAAACATAGGTTATTGGATCTTGTTTCAAGTTTAGGTGGTTGTTTTCGGAGTCATAAAAGTTGAATTGTAATAATAAATGAAATAAAACAACAAAAACAATAAAATACATAAGTTAAAAAAACAATAAAATACATAAAAAATTATCAAAACAAGGGATAACATAAGGAATAAGCTGGCTCTTCCAAATTTTTTTGTCGTATTATTATTCAGAATGGTCTAATGAATATATGTAGTGAAAAAGAATGCTCAAATATGAATAATGATATATGGGTAAAAATGTGATTTTTATGACCTTATTTGCATAAATTACCATAAATATGCAAATGAGTGAATTTTTCAAAAAATTGAAATTACACTTCACTTGACATGCGTGTAAATTTTCGCGGAGATCGGCCGCTTCATGGCCGAGATCTTATGGGGGGAGCATAATGCCCCCACCCCCCCCCCCGGCCGTACTAAAGACCTCAAATAGCCCGGCCTTTTTTAGGGACTCTTACAGAGCACACCATCCAAACGAAACCCAAGAGAGGGAAACTGCTCCTTTGTCAATGACCGAAAATGCTTACGTAGTCGTTGTTGTTAAAACAGCTGAATCTTCTCATTAAGATGCACATAATCAAAAAGCGGTGACTATCATTGGATCAAAGAAAGAATCACATCGAATGCCCCCCCCCCCCCACTCCGGGAACGGGGGACCCCATGCGTGTTCCCAAAATCTCCGGCTCATAACAAAGAAAAAGATCTGCTCGTATTGACTTTGCACACCGGACTTCAGTGCAGTTTCAGTTTCAGTTTCAGTTTATTTTCATATTTCACACATGTAGTATAATACATCATTACATTTAGCATGTTACATTTTGTACTCATTTAGGATACGTTTATACAAACAAACAAGAATAATACATAAGACTAAGTTGAATAAGGGAAGAAATATGATGGAGGGGGGGGGGGCGCTGGGAACACGCATATGCGTACCCTAAATAACACTGAGTGGGGGGGGGGTCGAATGTCCATCCGTAATAGGTCCATGATTCAACATAATGTTGCTATCCCAACAGATTGAGACTCTTGCCATCTACTCTGCTGATATCAGCGAACGTCCCTCTGCATCACGTGATCTCGCTCAATTCATCTGTAAGATAGCTTATCTGAAGAACCTAACACTCGAGAGTCTGTATCACGATGACTTCTACTCAACATCGTCATCGATGGCATCATCTACAAACAGGCGCGGATCCAGGATTTTGCAATAGGGGGGGGGGGGCCGGAAATTTGAAAATTGCGCAGACCGTTTTTCAACTCAACATACCAATACTGACAAGGTCATATTAGAAGCACCATACCGGACATTTTCATCGGGGGGGGGGGGGGGGGGGCTGAAGCCTCTTGCCCGAAAAAGTAATTTTCTGGTTTCACAATTCGGCTAGTGAGCGAAGCGAGCGAGCAAAAATTTGAGGATAATATGTATTTTGTGAAAGTGTTATTTATCATCAAAATATACGAGAAAAAATATATAACAAATTCATATTCGGGCAATTATTCGGGCAAATTATTAAAGAAAGAAGAGGATTCGTTGTACCATTCTCGACTCTTATTCCTTGTCTGAATTCAGTTTTCCCCCTCCCGCGCGAAGCGCTGAAGCATTGACCTTTGATAGTTTAATGAAATTTTTAGAGAAAGAAGATAATTCGTTGTTCCATTCTCGACCCTCAATCCTTCTCTGAATTCAGATTCCCCCCTCCAGCGCAAAGCGCAGAAGCTTAACGTTTCATTAAATTATTAGAGAAAGAAGACGATTTGTTGTACCGTTCTCGATTCTTAATCATTGTCTGAATTCAGTTTCCATACCCCCTCCTGCGCGAAGCGCGGAAGCTTTAACGTTTCATTAAATCATTAGAGAAAGAGTACCGTTCTCGACCTTTAATCCTCGTCTGAATTGAGTTCCCCCCACATTTCCCGCGCGAAGCGCGGAAGCTTTGACGTTTTATTAAATTATTAGAGAAAGAAGACGATTCGTTGTACCGTTCTTGATTCTTAATCATTGTCTGAATTCAGTTTCCATATCCCCTCCCGCGCGAGGCGCGGAAGCTTTGACGTTTCATTAAGTCATTAAAGAAAGAGTACCGTTCTCGACTCTTAATCCTTGTCTAAATTGAGTCCCCCCTTCCATCTCCCACGCGAAGCGCGGAAGCTTTAACGTTTCATTAAATTATTAGAGAAAGAAGACGATTCGTTGTACCGTTCTCGATTCTTAATCATTGTCTGAATTCAGTTTCCATACCCCCTCCCGCGCGAACCGCGGAAGCTTTGACGTTTCATTAAATCATTAGAGAAAGAGTACCGTTCTCGACTCTTAATCCTTGTCTGAATTGAGTCCCCCCCCCCCCCTCTCCCGCGCGAAGCGCGGAAGCTTTGACATTTCATCAAATTATTAGAGAAAGAAGACGATTCGTTGTACCGTTCTCGGTTGTTAATTATTGTCTGAATTCAGTTTCCCCCCCCTCCGCGCGAAGCGCGGAAGCTTTGACGTTTTATTGAATTATTAGAGGAAGAAGATGATTTGTTGTCCCATTCTCGATTCTTAATCCTTGTTTGAATTCATTTTCCCCCTTCCGCGCGAGGCGCGGAAGCTTTGACCTTTCATAGTTTAATGAAATTATTAGAGAAAGAAGATAATTCGTTGTCCCATTCTCGATTCTTAATCCGTTTGAATTCATTTTCCCCCTTCCGCGCGAGGCGCGGAAGCTTTGACCTTTCATAGTTTAATGAAATTATTAGAGAAAAAAGATAATTCGTTGTTCCATTCCCGACTCTTAATCCTTCTCTGAATTCAGTTTCCCCCTCCAGCGCAAAGCGCAGAAGCTTAACGTTTCATTAAATTATTAGAGAAAGAAGATGATTTGTTGTACCGTTTTAGACTTGTCAAAAATGTTTCTTTGTCTGCTCCTTTTTTTCGTCCTATGTCCTCTTATTGCCCCTACCGCCCCTAGCTACGCATGCTTTAAAGGGAAAATGAAACAATCATGATTGTGATAGCATACGATTAGGTCAGTAGAAATGAAAGGGGAAAAAAAATCTATTTATACACCAACCATGAAATAATTACGACCGGGAGCGTCATATCTTAGTTTTGTGTTATCGGGCGAGGGCCGGGCCGTAGCGACCAAGCGAGATTTTGCAATGTAGAATGCTGAAATTATGCATTCTAGAAAATCCTTTAGTCCAATATGTACGTTCTTTCCGCTACATGTATATTTCTTTCTAGCTATATATCTAAATTTCCAGGGGGACGTGTCCCTCTATCGGGCCCAGGATCGCCGCCGCTGTCCATTATCACTACCAACATGAGTTCAAATATAAGCACAAGCGAGTTGGTATGAGCTGAATCCAAATGAAGGGCAAAATAAGAGTTGTGAAGCGGCCCTACCGTTAATTTAAAATTTGACTGTTTAGTATATAGCTTCTATTTGAAAGACATCCAAAATATTGTGCCCTTTTCAATTTTTTTTCAAAAAGCAGGGGCTGTTTGTAACGTTTAACTTTGAATCCGTGGCTCGAGATTTTATGCGGCCGGCCCGGCCCCCTCTATTCAATAACGTTTCCCAAGCCTTCCTACAGTTTTTCCCTTATTCGTCGTTACTGTCACTTAGCGCCATTTCCTTGTCTTTTCCCCTTTCTCACCCGACCCTTCCCACCCCACCCCCCACCCACCCAGTGTTATCTAGGGTACGCACATGTATGT